CCCATGCCCTACATAGGTCCCAACTCTATGATCACTGAGCCCACAATCCCAGCTGGCCTCTGATAAGTATCTGGGGGCTGCTGGAGCATTTATGAGAGACAACTGTTATTAATTGTGCTCTCCCGAAAGAAATGCTGAAGTCCTAACCCCTGTACACACGAATGTGACCTTTTTTGGAAATAGGTTATTTCTTTTGTCATCAGTTAAATTAAGGGAGGTCATGTGGAGTACAGTTGGTCCTAACCCTAATTCTTTCTGACTAGTGTCTTATAGGGAGCTCTGATAGCATAGTGTCTAAGGCACTTGACTGCTAATCAGAAGGCTGGTGGTTCAAACCCACCAGACACTCCTTGGAAGGAAGATGGGGCAATCTACTTCCGTAGTGATACTGCCTCGGAAACCCAAGGAGGGGTCACTATGAGTCGGGTCCGACTCGACGACACATAACAACAATAACAGTGTCTTATAAAAAGGGAAAATAGACATAGAGGAGAAGACACCATGTGACACATCTCCAAGCCAAGGAATGCCTAGAGAGGCCCAGGACTACCAGAGCTGCATCTTCCCCTAGAGCTGCCAGAGACAGTATGGCCCTGACCTCCAACCTCTGAACTGTAAGAGAATAAATACATTTCTGTTCTTTAAAGCCATTTAGTTGGTAGAATATTTTTAATTTATTTTTAAATTTTTTATTGTGATTTGGGTGAAAATTTAGAGCAAATTCATTTTCCACACAGCATTTCATTTCATGCGCAGCACATTTTGTTTCATGACATTGACTGCAACCCCCCACAATGTAACAGCTCTCTTCCTGCTTCCTCCCTGTAGTTACCTCTTCCCTGTGTCCTTTCCTATGCATTCCTGCCCCCTGAGCTATCTCTCAAATACTGCCCTTCTGTTCTCTGATGATTGATCGTTCTAAGGAGTGTATTTACCTGATGTAAATGTTCACCCTATATGCTTGGCTATTATTGTTTGGCTGGAAGCCACGGGAGTGAGTTCAATTCCACACCTGAAGGGTAACTGGGGGCCATAGTCTCAGGGGTCTCACCAGGCTGTTCTAGACCAGTAATCATCTTTTTTATGATTTTGAGTTTTGTGCCACATTGTTCTCCCACTCTATTCAGGATCTTGAACTGTATTTTTAAGATATTAGAACTTTCAAAGTAATCCCAGGCTTGTGGGCCTGAGCCCAGGTGCTCTGTACTGTAGGCAGGTTGGGGTTGATTCTGGAGATGGGTCTTCACCGCAGCAGCCTGTGGCCCTTGGCTGTGCCTACACAGCCTCCTGGGCTGGAAGGTGTTATCTGTAGGCCCAGAGCACAGTGAAGGGGTGGGGAGGACAGGGTGGGACAGTGGGGAGGAGAACGGGAAAAGGACAAGCTGTACCCATCAGTGCTGTGACTTTTGACATGCTCTGACTTAATGGAGAGGGCGTTTCACATGGAAACAGTAGAAGACATTTGCAGCCAAGAAGAGCAATTCCCTTTGGTTGAAGCCAAATTGAGAGGCAGTTTGGGGTAGGAGGGTAGCCAGGGGGAGAGGAGCAGAGGGATGCTCAGGGGAACCAGTGTAAGGACTTAGAAAAGCCAGTGTCACAGCAGTTTATGGGGGAGGAGAGTGGGGTGTACTGTTGGAGACCCTGTAGGAAGCCCCGCACAGACTTAGGATAAACACCATAGTCCCTATAGCTGCTGTGCTCTACAGCTTTTCTAAGCCCTTGTGTACATGTCATTCAATGCACACAACAGCCTAGCTGGTAAGTATTAGTAGCCCAGTCTCAGAGATGAAGCAGCTGAGCCTCATAGCTTAAGGTCAAACCAGCTCTGTCTAGCCTCTCCTCTTCCTCTATCTCAGAGAAGAGAGGAGACTTTGCTCTCCAAATACTGTTTCAGGCTTAGGCTCATGAAAAGAACCATGGTGAATCCTTTGGGTCATTTCTGGATGAAATAATATATAAATCTTGGAATACATCCAAGAGGAAAAGTAAAATACTGTCCTTCTTACCACCTAGTTCCTGTCAGACCTTCTGGCCCATCATCCAAAATACCAAAGGAAGGTAGGGGCTGCATCATCAGCAAATGACAAAGCTGATAAGAAAGGCAAGTCTGACAGACAAGCTCCTCCAGCTCCAGAAAGGAAGCCTAGTTCAAGACAGAGGTCAAAAGAACCAAAGGAAAAAGTAGGGTGAATGTCCCAGGTGGACATAAAACACAGGGTATGCCAGATGGCCTTACAGAATGGTCACCAGCAGTTACACCTCCTGGTGAAGTGTCTGCAGGCCCCCAAATCCCCTTTATGGAGGCCTGTCCAGACACCCTCCCCCTTCCCTTTTTGCTAGGAACCTGCCCAGCTGTGGTCCAATCCAAATCCAATACGAACACACCACATACCACTGGGTTTTAAAGTCATGTCTTCGTGGAGGTTCTTGGCCTTATGAGACACAGCTGATTGGCCAGGGGTAGACCCCTGACACACACTGGCCAACTGAATTTGTTTTTTTCTTCTGGAAATCTGAAAATGGAGCCAAAAGATACTGGTTTAATCTTCTAGGCAGTTGACTCAGGAATTAACGTGAGAAGAGACTGAGGTGGCCATATTTGGTCCTGTGCACATGAAGAGTCAGGAAAGTGCACCTCCAAAGAACGGAGAAGAGCAGGCCTGAGAGAGAAGCAAAGGGGAGACCACTGGGCCTCAGAGAGAGAGATGGCTCCTGTCAGCTGCTCCTGGCTCATAGTCTTGTTGGTGGTGGTGTTGTTAGGTGCCGTTGAGTCAACTCCGACTCATAGCAACCCTATGTACAACAGAATGAAACACTGCCTAGTCGTGCATCATAATTTATTCTTGTTAATGAGATACTCCTAAATACTTAAAACAATAATCCCCCTTCCACTCACTAGTTTGAAGGTTTCCTCTTACTTTCCACCAATGAGCCTTGACTAAGATACATATGACCCCCTTTCTCTCTTTTCTTTGTCTCAGGCACCACCTGGGAAACTGCTTCCTCAAGAAAACACCCTCCCTCAGAACTGCCAGCCATCACTTTCTGATCCCACAGGGAACTTGGACCCACTTGGAAAATAACATTTGAAACTATTTGCCCCTGCAGCCATCTGATCAAAGTGGAACAAGAAATGCTTCCCTGAGACATGGGGCTAATCTTTCAAGTGGCTGTTTTCTGCCCCAAAGGAAGGTCATGCAAGGAGTTTTGGGGTTTTTTTTTCTTTAAATTGTGATTTGGGTGAAAGTTTACACAGCAAATTCATTTCCAAACGCAGTTCATAGACATTTTGTTTCATGACATTCATTACAATTCCCCACAATGTAAGAGCTCTCTTCCTACTTCCTCCCTGTTTACCTCTTCTCTGTGTCCTTCTTTGCCATGTACTCCTGCCCCCCACCCAGCGGTCTCCCAGGGCAGACACTGTCCTTCTGTTTTCCCGTGATTGATCATTCTAAGGATTGTATCTCCTTGATGTAAATGTTCACCCTATATACCTGCTCTTGTTTGGCTGGAAACCACAGGAGTGAGTTCAAATTCAAATCCAAAGGGTAACTGGGGGACATGATCTTGGGGGTCTCACTAGGCTCTATCAGACCAGGAAACCTGGTCTTTTTTGATTTTGAGCTTTTTTCCACATTGTTCTCCCACTCCATCCATGATCTCCTCTCTGCAAGGTATTTTTTCGCACAAATGTGAAACATGAATAAAATCAGTGAGATGAGATCCAGCCCCTTCCTTGCCCCTGACACCTGTACTACAGGGGGTAGTAAGTCCAGAAAAGAGAGTTGTTTTTCTCCTTTTAAAATGTAGCTAAATGAAAGCAGGTTTTAAAATTACTTAAAAAAAAAAAAAAAAAAAAGGATTACTTCCAAATATTTATTAACCACTCTGGAACCTACCAGCTTTGGCTGCAACCCTGGCCACCATGCATAGGACCTGCCTAACTAGAGCTCCATGGGCAGAGCTGCCTCCCGGGGAGCAAGGTCTCTGCACATAGCCCGGCTCCCACCTCGCCTCTCCCTACCCACCCTTGCCCACACCCAACTAGGGTGGCCTAGTTGGGCTAGGTTTCCTCTATCGTCCTCCAGTAAAAGCTTACTTTTGCCCAGATGGGATCCCTTGCCCCTGACCCTCTCCTCTGCCTGTTTCATCCTCCTAGTCCTGTGAGTACTGACCAAGCTGTCCTCCAGCATGTGGCCAGCCTTCACCACTCAGGCTCTGCTGCTTCTCCCTCCTCTGAACACCTACAGCTTTCATCGTCAGAACATCTCCCCTGCACACAGTGCAGTGATGTGGCAGCTTCCTGAGACGAGAGTCTATCTCCCATTTGAACTGTCATCTGCGTGGGGGCAGCCCCTGAGCTTCACACACAAGGAGATCAGTAGAAACTTCTTGGCACAGCTTCGAAAGCTTTCCTGGACCCAGGCCCCAAACTACCTTTCTGGCTGTGTCTCCCCTGCAGCCCTCTCCAAACTCAGTCACATGCCTTACTCATCTGTCTTCATGGCCTCACTCCCCAACACCTCAGCACCTAGCACACAACCGATACTCAATATATTGGTGTCAACTTGAAACTCAAATTCTTTTCCAGGAGTTGAAAGAGAAAGAAGAATGAAGAACCTTTTTCAATCCTGTCTCTCTCAGCTTGGTCTTAATGCTGACCTCCCAAGAAAGTCCTCATGAGGTCTGGGAGGGATCACAGCCCTAATGCAGCAAGTGATGAGCTTCACTGGGCACAGAGCCCACAGCCTCTCAGAATATGCCCTTAGTAATAAGCACAGTGAGTACACAATTTATTTTTCCAACCAAGACACTTTTGTGAGTGAACTGGTAATACGCTGGGACTATTTCAGACAAGTGGGCTGCATGGTCACCCTAGGCAATAGATCATGTTTTGTGGTCAACCCTCTGCCTCCCAAAAAATAAACAAAATACTGATTTTTAAACATAAGAACTTGTTAAAACATAAAGTAGTTTGGCACCAAGATTGCTTTATTTTAAAAGCCAATTGTGTTGTTGAAGAAAAGGCTGTGTTCTCGGCCCATTCTGGCTACAGTTGGAGACTGCTTCGGGAATTGTGCTGAAGATGTATATGCTCCTGGGCCTGGGGTTTTCTGTAAACAGAACAGAAAGCAGGGCCTGATGAGATAGTGACTCCAGAACCCCAGATATTCCCATGCCTGGCACATGGCTGCTGGCTTAGATGTGGCTGATGATCTCCTGCTGAGGGACACAAGGGCTGCCCCAGCCAGGCCAAGGCCCAATGGACCCTTGAATTGGAATAAGTCCTGGAGGTGAGGCTTACTCCTGTCTGGGGCACTCAGCAAGGCTGAGGAGGTGCTGAGAGAAGGCAGGACAAGTCTGTGACCTCCTAGAACCAGCTGGGGGAGGCAGGGTCACACCTCACTTAAGCCTCAAGGCATGTTGCTTCCCAAAGAACACTCTGCCCAGGCAGTTCATGTCCCCAGAATGCTATTGCCTCCCCCTATATTTACCCCCGTCTAGCGGTAAGTAGATGGAGAATGGATTCCAAACCTGGGTGGTCTTACCAGAAAGCCCAAACTGCCTCTCAAACTCACGTGGGTATCAGCCTCTGACCAGTATGATAAGGCAAGGTGTTTCCTAACCAGGGTCTGTGGACTCCAGAGTCAAAAGTATTTCTAAAGTTCTAGTTTTTAAAAATCATGTCTTGAAAAAGTTATTTTGCCAGTTGTTTAAACAATGCTTCTCTTCTGCCATGATAAATTACAAATCAATGTCATTGTCATAGACTCACAGACAAAGACTAAGTCTTCAGGATCTTAAGTCAGAGTTTCCCTTGCTGGGATGCACATATTCTTGAAACCCAAAGGAATCTTTACCTTGGATCTGTTTGAGAGACACCAGAGTAGTGGTGAAGGACAAGGGCTTTGGGGACCAACAGGCCTGAGTTTAAGTCCCAGTCCCACCACTATGACTCCGTGTGTCCCTGGGCCGTGTGCCGCCTACACTTAGGAGTAGCTGCCTTGGAGATGGATGTGAAACCCACTGGAGTCACTCCCCTCTGTGACAGACTGTACTACACCAGGTCAGCAGCAAACACCACTATTATTCACCATTATCATCTACTTGCCATTTCCATACTTGCTTACAGTTTGTTATGTCTTCAGGAGACAGGAGAGTAGAAATAGGGTTATCCTGAGAGTGGACAGACATCTGCTTATAGAGGATGAGCTCAGCTGCCTGCAGAAGCCACCTTCAATGACAACATACTTCCCTTGCCAAAAGCGGAAGAGCAGTGTGGAAATCTAATCAAGGCCTGGCCGACTGTCAGAGGAAGCTGTAGCCTTTACTAATGCTGTTAATGAGGAGCCAGCATGCAGTGGGGGCCCTGAAGGTAAGGCCCCAGAAGAGGAGGTTCAGTGGGCCTGCAACCCACAAGACCACCCTTCAGGAGACTGCTGATTGAGAGCATCCAGTTTAGCACCTCAGCCCTAATTTCATTGTTACCAAGCAACCTCTGGCTGTCCTTGGCTTCCATGAGGATTTTCCTATCAGGGTGAGACTCCACAGACCAGCAGACCCAGGGGCCAGGCCCCCTTGGAGGACCCTAATAAATTAATACTAAACCTTCCAGTTTCTTTGTCAGTTTCCTGGGAGTTTGATTAGCATGGGCCAGTCCTCCTAAGAATAGTCATCCCTGTGGGCAAAAAGCTGTTTCTGGATCCTGGTAATGCCACCAAGTGTGAGGATTTGCTTGAGGGATCCACCAGCCTGTCACTGTCGACTTCCCTTTAATTTTCCTGGCAGGGGCCTCCCCACTATTCCTCCAGATAAAGGCTACACTACCCCCAACACTAGGAGCTCTGGTAGCATAGTGCCTAAAGGCACTTGACTGCTAATCAGAAGACTAGCGGTTCAAACCCACCAGCCACTCCTTGGAAGGAAGATGGGGCAATCTACTTTCGTAGTGATACTGCCTTGGAAACCCAAGGAGGGGTCGCTATGAGTCGCGTCCAACTCAACGGCACATAACAACAACAACAACAACCCCCAACATTAGAGATTCTGCAGGAAATGGCCCAGGTGCCACAGAGGATGGTAACAGACAGTGGTACCACTAGCCCTCTTCTACCTACTACCCCAATCTCCCTGTCCCATCACTTGCCTCCCACCCCTGCCCCTTAAGTGGGCCCATTTTCTTACAGGCAAAATTTGTAGTCTTTCTGTCTCCCTAACAACTTCAATTATGTTCACATACCAGCAAGTTTTAGGGACTTTCAGACTGGGATACAGCCTGGGACAACAAGGCCATGGGGATTAAAATTGCCTTTTAGCATTAGCATTAAAAAAAAAAAAATCACGTTCAGAAGCTCCATGTGATCCTTTTGCAATCCTTCTTGGTCTTTCTGAGGTCTCCAAGGCTCTCTGCAAGGAGCTCTGGTGGCGGCATAGTGCCTAAGGCATTAGACTGCTAACCAGAAGGCTGGCGCTTCAAACCCACCAGCCAATCCACAGAAGGAAGACTGGGCAATCTCTTTCCGTAAAGATTTACCACCTTGGAAACCCAGTGGGGGTCACTGTGAGTTGGAATCGACTCAATGGCACTGCGTTTGGTTCTGGTTTTTGGTGAGGCTCTCTGCATGTCCCCAGAATCCACCTTTGTGCATTTGAGCCTCTTCCCTGTCAGTTCCAACTCCTCAGGGGCAGAGTGACTGCTCACGCTTTAAAGGTCCCCTTTGGTTTGATATTCATCGTTTCTGCTCCGACTTTGTTTCCTTAGGCTCTAGAAGCCACCATATACAAAGAAGGGCAGCCACCCCCCGTTGCGGGTTTCAGTTCATTAAAGCTGTTTCCCCATGAAGCATCCAGATCACAGTATTGATGGCCAATTACTGTGCTGGCTGTTCTCAGCTCCACTCATAACTCAGCCATGGCCTTTGGGTCTGCAGTCCCTCTGGAGCCCGCTGCAGTTGAGCGTTTGTTTTAGCTCCCTGCTCCTTACTGCCTTGACAAGCCATTGTTTTTACTAGAACCCTCAGAAACTTTAACTTCCCTACCCCACCCCTTCACTAGTTCTCACCACCACCCAACCACAACTTACCCCACCCCTTCACTAGTTCTCACCCCCACCCACCACAAAACCTACAACCATAACCACACCTCTGGGGCTGCCTGCCTTTTAGAATACTTACTGAACAGGAGGGTAAGAATCGAGGGACTCTGGACTGAAAACAAGAAGTAACAGAACTTGTAGGGGGTATTTTCAAGTCATAATGACCTGGGCCTGGGCCTTCATGCTATAGAAAATTAAAAAAAAAAAAAAAAAAGTGTTTCATTATTAATAATATTTTATATATTTTAAAGCTTTATTTTGCCTTCCATAAATAAACATCTGAATCAGTGTGAAATGGTAGAAAAATCCTTGGATTTGGGCCGGGAAGATCTTGTTAAGCTGTGACCTGGGAAGAACACCTGCTGTACCTGCCTCATGGGATGACCATGAAGAATCAAGGACAGTAAGTGACCTGTACATGTCTCCCCTTGTCCCTGCTTCCCCAAGCCCTGGGCCCCCTCCCCACACTCAGGACCTTCCTCACATCAGCATACCTGTCCCAACTTCTTCCCAGGCTGTCCCCTTTAACTTTCTGCTTTGAGGTGTTAGCTTTAAAAAACACTCCCATCCTTTCATAGACATGCAGTATATGTTATCTTGGTCCAAGAAATTATTCATAGCAATTCACTGAGAGACATACGATGCCACAAGATTATCGTAAGTGAATGAACATAACTTTAAAAAGACAAACACCTCAACAGAAAACTTAGCAAAAGGTGATTCACAAGAGAAAATGCAAATATTCAACAGGCAAATGGGGTGGGGGTGGGGCTTTAACCTCATTAATAATCAAATAAACTATCATTAAAACTACAGTGAGATTTCTTTTTCATGCATGAGATATCATGAGTCAGGGGCTGACTTGACAACAGCAAGAAGGTGAGAGCAGAGAAATGTGTCCCGTGATATCCTTCTAATGGGAAGGCTGGGGCACCTATTAACCTAACCCAGTGGGTTTGGCCGAATGAGCACCCCAGACTGCAGACCCTTCACAGGACTGAAGAGCAGGCTTTCCCGTTTACTCTGGTGGCGGCTCGGAGGTGTAATTAGGACCGCCATTCTCAATTACTGCACCATGAGAGGAGTCTGTTATTAACAGCCATGCACAAATCTGATAATCAAGGAATGGATGAGCCTCACAAATTTACAACTCATGGCAGAGAGATGAAAACAGCTATGTTTTCAAACAGATGCATGTGTGTACAGAGACTGTCATCAGGAGGCAGTTATCTGTATGGGGTGAACTCAGCACTCAGACTGGAGGACTCTGTGCCACCATGAAAACAAAGGGGTAAAAAGCCTGATGAAATGTGGGGAGGAAAAATTTGTGCAACCTCCCTTCTATTTGTCCGAAATACTGCAGAACTCTTAAGCCAGATGGGTAGCTAAGGCAAAAGATGATGCAAAGTGGGCTCCCACTGATTCGCCTATGACAGCCACCTGTAGAATGGCTAACACTGTGGACTGCACCCCTTTCCCTTCAGCCTAACATGCTTTTGTTGCCAAGCTTCCAAGTCATGAGCTTCTTGGAAATCCAAGAGGACCCAATATGGCAGTGACATGGGCCTGTGCTATCCAGTGACCTCCTGCAGGAGGCAGTTATCTAACTCAAATGAATTAAGGCCCGGGCAGAAAGAAATGACTGAAAGCTATTGACCCCACACGTGTCAGATGGAATCTCTAGAAGGGAACATTAGGGAATTGGATATAGGCCCAAGTTCATATTCTGGAAGCCACAGGAATGCTGTGGCAAAGCCGAGACTGTTCTCAGTGAGAAGTGATGATCCTGCGAGGATCCTGCAATGGTTGGGAAGCAGCCCCAGCATAGTCCTCACTTCCACCCGATCTGAGGACAGCGTCCGTGGGCAGAGCAGGAGTGGAGGATGAGGCACGCAGTCCAAGCTGCCTCCGAATGTAGGTCCAAAAATGGATGCAGTTCAGTGGGAGGGTGTTTAAAGAAGAAAGTTTGGACCATGTCCTCCTTGTCCTTGAAATAGAGAGTTCCGCTCCCTCTCTTACAGAGGACCACTGAGCTGACCCAGAGCTTTGGTTTTGCATTATGTTTGGCACATGTGTGAAAGGGAGGTGGCAGGGTTCACCAAGCAGCATAAACACTCTTACTATACAAATCAAACGAATCATTTCTTAAACCTTGCTCTATCCCGACCATGCTTGGCAGCTGGGTTTCCTGAAGATAAACCTTTCAAAGACCATTGTCATTCGGTGCCAAGAGAGGAAAGTATAAGCACTTTCCTCAAGAAACAGAACCTCATGTCAAGAAAAAAACTACAGGAAACCATTCATAATACCCACTCCTCTGCTTTGGGGCATGAGATTACATCTCAACCCTCCTGACAAGGTGACACTATCTTTTCTATTTCCTTTTAAAAAGTCCCATTTAATTTGAGTTTCTACTTGAGGGCATCTTTAACTTTAGGGATTACACGGAAGAATAAAATGCTATCTTTGACCTCAGAGGAGGAGTTTATAGCCCAGTAAAGACAGAAGACAGAGTCAAACAAAAGTACCACAAAGGAATAAAAGAAGGTGTGACGTGCTGGGGTGGTGCTGAGCGAAAGCTGAGCTAGCAGCCTGGCTTCAAGATCCCAAACCAGGTCCTAGAGCAACTGGCCTGTCCTCACTAAATGTGCATAGGATGTGACTAACAGCAGGAGCTTCTGACTCACTCTAAAAAACTTAGAATGTGCATCCCACTGACTTTTCTGGAATGCTCCAGGGTCTTTGTCATATCATGAAGTTTGATTTATTTGGTTACAATCCTAGTAGGCAATAGGTAGCATAGTGGCTAAGGCACTTGATTGCTAACCAGAAGGCTGGCAGTTCAAACCCACCAGCCACTCCTCGGAAGGAAGATGGGGCAATCTACTTCCGTAGTGATATTGCCTCGGAAACCCAAGGAGGGGTTGCTATGTGTCGGGTCTGACTCGACGGCACATAACAACAACAACAAAGGCAATACTGCTGTAATATCATTGGTCTTTGGTAAGCCCTGACATCTCCCCACTGGACACACTCCTTATCCAGGGCTGAGGGGATGGGACTACTCAGGAATTACAGGTAGACCCCAACTTACAATGTATTTGAGTTACAATGAACCGCACTTATGACCTCTGGTGTGTGTGTGTGTGTATCTTGTCATTAGTAATATGTGCTATATATAGTGTTGCAGCAGGAACACTGAATTTACAACTCGATATTGCCGATATAGAAGAGCTCACAGATCACAAAGAAGAATCAACAGATCAGGACTCAATGCATTTGGAAGAGGAAAGAAATGCTGAGGAAGGAAGAAATGGTGAGGAAGAGAAAGGAGAGAAGTCGTCAAAAATTTTTACAGTGAAAAGATTAGCTGAAGTTTTTCCTAAACTAAATCAGGAGCTTCACTTGCTTAAAAACATGGACCCAAACAATCGCTTGGCTAAAGTCAATAGGCAGATACAGGAAGCATTGAGATATTACTGTGAAATATATGAAGAAAGAAAAGGACCATACAGACAACTCTCCCTAATTTTCTGACTAGAAACGTCATCCCCATTCCCAGGGATAATCCAGATGCTTCAGAACCTTCTACAAATGGAGTTATTACTGCAACTGACAAAATGTCAATGGTCCAACTCTTCTTCATAATCAGAGTAAATTTTCATGATTCGTGTATTTTTCTCCATATATGTAATGTTTCCAACCCCCCAAAGACAAATAAAGACCAGATCTATAAAGATACTGATAATAAAAGACAATAATAATGAAAACCATAAAAAAAATGAAAAATAAAAGAAAGAAATATTTTACTTACATCAGGACTGACTTAAAACAGTCTTCAGAATACCATCCCATTGTAAATCAGGGACGACCTATAGAAGGTGTATCACCCTAGGGCAGTCCGAAGCAGGAAAACACCAGGTACCCCTGAAAGAGGAGCTCTAGTAGTGTAGTGCCTAAGGCATTTGACTGCTAACCAGAAGGGTGGCGGTTCAGACCCACCAGCCACTCCTCGGAAGGAAGACTGGGCAATCTCAGAAACCCAAGGAGGGATTGCTATGAGTTGGATTTGACTTGAGGGCAGTGAGTCTGGTTTGGTTTTTGGTTTACCACTGAAAGACTGTATGAGACTAGATGAAATTATCTTAAGTCTTTAGTTCATTTCTTCATTCAGCCAATATGCAACGTGCCAGAAGTGTGCTGGGAGTTGGGAATACAGCGGTATAAGATTGTCTCCCAGTATCCATTCTCCCATTCCTTAGTATTAGAACTTCCAATTCTGGTAGCATAGTGGCTAAGACACTTGTCTGCTAACCAGACGGCTGGCGGTTCAAACCCACCAGCCACTCCTCGGAAGGAAGGTTGGGCAATCCTACTTCCGTAGTGATACTGCCTCGGAAACCCAAGGAGGGGTCACTATGAGTCAGGGCCGACTCGACGGCACATAACAACAACAACAACAACAATTTTTACCTGCACATATGTCTACCCAGAGTAAAGACTACATTTCCCAGCCTCCTTAGCAGTTAGGTATGGCTACATGACTAAGCTCTGGCCAATAGAAGAGGTGTGTGCAAATTCCAAGGAGCACATTTAAGGACAGGGTAGCCTGTCCTTCCTCCCCCTCCTTCTTTCTGCTATCTGGCCCCATCTTCTAAGCTCTCTTGGACCATGGGAATGGAAACCACACTTAGCCAAGCAGCACATAGTAGGAGTCTGATGCTACAGAGCTGCCCCACCAGCCTTGATGCCTAAATAAATTCCTGTCTTGCTTATAAAATCATTCTTTGGGGGTTTCTGTTACTGGCAGCAGAACAGCTCTGACTCACAAGACTGACATGTGTTTCCTGCTCTCATGGGACCTACGTTCTAGCAGGGCTATACACCTTACAACAAATAGAATGATGGGTGTGTGGAGGAGCACATAAAGGGACACACAGGATGTGATGTGTGGAGAAGCACATAAAGGGACATATGTACGATGCTGTGGGAGAGCAGGTAAGAGGGTATACCAATCTGGTCTGAGGGCCCCAGAAGCCCCTTAAGGAAACACATTTTAGCCGAGATCTAAAGTATGAAGAGGAGTCACCACTACCCCCCCCCGTCATCAAGTCTATTTCAACTCATAGTGACCCTTTATGACAGAGTAGAACTGTCCCATAGGGTTTCCAAGGCTGTAATCTT